CATCGTTGTGATCTCAGGAATAGGCAGGATCTCAAGACCAGGCAGGATCTTCTGCAGGCAGGAGGCAGGAGAACACAAGAGTTGAATGAGTTTGTGTTTGATCAGATTAACCATAGCAGAGGAGTGTGATAACCACAAGAGATGACAAAATGACTAATTTCTACAGAAGAGAATTGTGGTGTCCTTGATGTTTTTTCAGTTTGGTTGTTCGTAGACATTTCATGTCTACTGTTTCATGTACGACTTCACGTACTCCTGCGAGTCCCTTGGACTGCAAGGCGATCAAACCGGTCGGTCCTAGAGGAGATCAACCCTGACTGCTCTTTAGAAGGCCAGATCCTGAAGATGAAACTCAGATACTTTGGCCGCCTAATGAGAATGAAGGACTCACTGAAGAAGAGCCTCATGCTGGGAAAGACTGAGGGCAAAAGAAGAAGGGGACGGCAGAGAACGAGGTGGCTGGATGGAGTCACTGAAGCAGTCGGCGTGAGCTTAAATGGACTTCAGGGGATGGTAGAGGACAGGAAGGCCTGGAGGAACGTTGTCCATGGGGTCACGATGGGTTGGACATGACTTTGCAACTAACAACAACAACAACAACAACAAAGACATTTCATTAGCCTATTAAGGTAACATTTGAGTGTGGGGGTTGATGCCTGTTTATATACTGTAGCTTGCCCTGCCGATATTGGTGGGGATGTGGTTTTCCAAGCAACCAAGCTCAGAAACCACCAAAGACTTCATAGTGACTAATTTGTTCTATATTAAACTTCATTTAGATACAGAGAAGACATTTGTCCCTGAATCTGTTCAGTAACACCATCAAGAGAAGCAAAGGAAGGAAGGGAAATTTTGTGTGCAGAAAAGGGTAGGAGACACTCATTTCTTCACAAGAACAATGAACGGGGCAGATTCTGGAGTTCTGTAATACAGGTAAGACAATTTTTTTAATCTAATTTCAGAGAGTTGATCATGAAGCATCCTTTCTTGGGGCCTGTAGGAAGAGCTACAGGCCCCGAGAAAGAGATCTTTGAAGACTTCTGAATTCGCAGAAGAGTTGGAGCCAGACAGATTTCAGAAGAGATGTATCTTCATAGGGTAGGCACAGTCACACAGAAGGCAAATATTTAGGTCTTCCAAAAGACACTGTTGATAGATGGGACCTGGAGTGAACTTACTCTGCCAGATGTTTCTGGTGATACAGAAACAAACAAGAGTGACCCCTTGTTTTAAGCCATGGAGACCTTTATTGGGGGCAACCAACACTGTGAATTATATTTTCAAGCCTACTGCTAACTAGTGCAATTTACAAAGTAGAAGTGTCACATGAAGAAAATGAAAAATGCCCATGACTATTTAGGCTGCTCCATTCTGGACCAACTGTAGTTCTCAAATATTCTTCAAGGGTAAAGAAAGTGATGCCTTCTGTATTTTGGGGAAAAAACCCCCACAGAGTTAAAGCTTCTTTTTTACTTCCTTTGCTCCAAATAGTCCTTTTAAATTCTGTCTATGTCCTCAAGAATATATGCTAATCAATACCAGAATAACAGAGTTGGAAGGGACCTTGGAGGTTTTCTAGTCCAACCCCCTGCTCAGGCAGGAGACACTATACCATTTCAGACAAGTGGCTGTCCAGTCTCTTCTTAAAACTTCCAGTGTTGGAGCAGCCACAACTTCTGGAGGCAGGTTGTTCCACTGATTAATTGTTCTCACGGTCAGAAAATTTCTCCTTAGTTCTAAGTTGCTTCTCTCCTTGATGAGTTTCCACCCATTGCTTCTTGTCCTACCCTCAGGTGCTTTGGAGAATAGCTTGACTCCCTCTTCTTTGTGGCAGCCCCTGAGATATTGGTCATGCTATCATGTCACCTCAAGACCTTCTTTTCATCAAACTAAAGTAAAGGTTCCCCTCGCATATATGTGCTACTCATTCCTGACTCTAAGGGGTGGTGCTCATCTCCGTTTCAAACCCTAAGAGCCAGCATTGTCCAAAGTTGTTTCTGTGGTCATATGGCCGGCATGACTAAATGCCAAAGGCACACGAAATACTGTTACCTTCCCACCAAAGGTGGTCCCTATTTTTCTACTTGCATTTTTTACATGCTTTCGAACTGCTAGGTTGGCAGAGAAACTGGGACAAGTAGGGGAGCTCACCCCATTAGGCGGCGGCATTAGGGATTCGAACTGCTGAACTGCCGACCTTTCGATCAATAAGCTCAGTGTTTTTAGCCACTGAGCCAGCGCGTCCCTACATCAAACTAGACATATCCAATTCCAGCAACTGTTCTTCATATGTTTTAGCCTCCAGTTCCCTAATCATGTTTCTTGCTCTTCTCTGCACTCTTTCTAGAGTTCAAACATCTCTTTTACATAGTGACGACCAAAACTGGATGCAGTATTCCAAGTGTGGCCTTACCAAGGCATTATAAAGTGGTATTAACACTTCACGTGATCTTGTTTCTATCCCTCTGTTTATGCAGATGCAGATGATGGGTTTTCTCATTCTCACAGAAGTTATAAAACGGGGGTGAGTTTTTGCTTCTCCTTCCAAATTATGATTAAGTCTTTCCTTTGCAAAGATCTGGAGATACACTTAGCAAAATGTGAAGCAAGTTCCTCTTCTTTACTGGAATCTATTTCTGATGCCGAATAAATTCTGCATGCTCACCATAGCCACATCAAAGGCAGACCAAACTGGAGTCGTCCAAGAAATCTCGCTTTCTGAACTTCCTTGGATTCTCAAAGAGATCTGTTTAACCTCACCAGGAATTCTTTTACTTCATCAACAGGTATGTCCTTAGCAAAGCTAGAACTCTCGTCATTGGTTATATGAAAAAAAAATAATAATTCTCAATTCAGAATAAGTCTCAGAAACTGCAAGGGCAACATTTGTTGATAGTATGATTTCTTACGAAAGGTTATCCATCACAGACGAGCAGTTATTTTTTTAAAAAAGAAACCCAGTTATTTATTTTATTTATTTATTTCGTCAGGAATGACTAAGATAACAGATATAAGTATAAACATGATTATGAATACAGGAAATGGATAGGAATAAAAAGGGACAGTAGGACAGGGACAGTAGGCACGTTATAGTGCACTTATGCACGCCCCTTACAGACCTCTTAGGAATGGGGTGAGGACGACAGTAGACAGTCTAAGGTTAAAGTTTTGGGGATTTGGGGAAGAAACATACAGAGTCAGATAGTGCATTCCAGTCATTGACCACTCTGTTTATAGTCATATTTTCTGCAATTGAGTTTGGAGCGGTTTCATCATAAGTTTGTATCTATTATTTGCTCGTGTATTGTTGTGGTTGAAGCTGAAGTATTCAATGACAGGTAGGAAGTTGTAGCAGTAATTTTGTGTACTACGCTTAAGTCAGACCGAGGTGGCGTTAGTTCTAAATTATCTAAGCCCAAAATTTCAAATCTGGTGGCATAAGTTATTCTGTTGTGATCAGAGAAGTGGAGGACTCTTCTCGTGAAATATCTCTGGACTCGCTCAATTGTGTTAATGTCCGATATACAGTGCGGGTTCCAGTTAAATGATTGGGTGGAGTAGATGCATCATTTCTAGATGTAGCCACTTGCATTTTCATGCCAACTGACTTGCCATGAAAGCACTTGTGGCTCAAACTGAGTTTTCACACGTTTGGAGATGATGTGGAGGTTTCTGGCACCTCCAATATCACATTAATCAAATTTATGTAATCCTCATTATATTAATTAAATGTACATAAAGAAAAATACCTAACATCTGGTAAACTTCTAATCTAATCTTTTTAATCTTCTAACTTCTAATCTTTCTGTTATTTTTATTCATTCTATAAACAATTTATGTTCTAATGTTTCCCTTATCTAATTTTATTTCTGCCTTCTTAGCTTAAGGTGGCTTCTCTGGTGGTGTATTCGGCCATTGTTTCATTGTATACTTTATTTCATTTCATTAGCTTGCAGTTTAGTTTGGTTTGGTTTAGTTTAATGAGATGGCAGCTTCCTAGAATCCTTGCTAAATTGTCACCGACCATGTGAGATTCTACATCATTAGAAATATTTAGTAGGGAAGACCTTTATCAGTTAATATTCCAAAGCAGGGGTCTCCAACCTTGGCAACTTTAAGACTTGTGGACTTCAACCCCACAAGTTGAAGTCCACAAGTCTTAAAGTTGCCAAGGTTGGAGACCCCTGTTCCAAAGGACAATTTTTTCTTCTCTTGTGATGTTTATCTGGGAACAAACATAAACCAACCAGAATATTATTAAACTTTCTGGTTATTTATAGGTGGTCCCAAAGAGAACATTTGAGAAGGATAAGAATTATGATTAATAACTTTGTACGGCAGTTGCTTTACACTTTAAAATAAAGATGGAAAGATCCATATTGTATTGTATGCCATTAAAGTGGTCATCTGACTATTTTTTTCAAAAACTTTAGATATGACACAGTTCTTGGGAAGAAGCAGAGGAAACCAAACTACCCACAAAACAGAAAACATTTCCTCTTTTAACTGGCAAAGTGATCACATTAACTGTTCTCCATGAGTCATTTCTGCTTCGCTTGTATGGAAAGGCATTAAGGCGAAACAAGAAACGTGTCCTGAAACCAGATGATGCCAGATGATGAATTGACCCCATATGGCTGAAAACTGATGGGAGAAAATAATCTACAGACACTGATGTCACAATTTCTGCCTTCTTGAGCAAGAACCAATGCAGAAGTACCCAAAAGGATAACCCAAGTGATTTTTTTTGCTGAAGATTTTCTGTGAAATTGTCCACATCCTGTCCACATCCTTCTTGGAAAAATCAGAACAGATGCAAAAGTCATTTGATGGCTGTTGACTAAATTAAGGGTCAGTGCTTTGTCCTTTAGCTTTTCTGGATCCATCCTTAGCTCTCAAGACGAAGCAGAAACAAGAAAATCCAAGTGAGATTCATTTCCACAGAAGATAGCAACCAATGTGTCAAAACTCCATACTTTTCTGGAATAACGGATGCTAAAATGGGAAGTTGGGCATTCAGGTATAGCGATCACAACGAGACTGAGGACATCTACTCCAAGAGCAGCGTTCATGAGCCTGAATATCAGAAAATAGTCATCTATTCTTTAATCATTTTAATCTGTATTCCAGGAATTATTGGAAATGGCATTGTCATCCGACTTTTGAGATGCACAATTAGGAGAAATTCTTTCACTGTTTACATCCTCAATTTAGCCATAGCTGACAGTGGGACCCTCATATTCCTATTTCTGACAGAAATTCTGTACCTGGCTAAGAGATTATTCCCCCTAATAATAACAGAATGTTTCATATGCACTTATTGCACTGGTCAAATTCTTTTGACAATCATCAGCATCGACCGGTGTTTGGCTCTCTTCTTCCCAATTTGGTATCGATGCCATCAGCCTCCTTACTTGTCCCTCATACTTTGTGCCTTCTCATGGCTAGTCTCTTTGCTCCTCTGTACAATTCATTTTGCTCTGTTTGATGCAAGACTGACTAAAATCTTCCCTTCGTTCTATCACATTCTCATATGTACCTCTATTTGCATCCCACTCATGGTGGTCTCCAGCCTAGCCCTCTTCATCAAAGGCTACCTTAAGTCACACATGCAGAAGCGAGGAAGGCTTCTCAAAGTCATTTTGCTGGCCCTGTTTTTCTTCCTCATCTTTTCTATTCCGCCAAGTGCCATTTATCTCAATGAGACTCTTTTCAAGCACAGGTATGGCAATTTAATCACATATGGCTACCTATGTGCCTGTCTAAACAGCAGTGTTAACCCGCTGATCTATTTTCTACTGGGGAGAAAGATGGAACATCCTTCTAGATGCAACCTAAACATTATCCTCCAGAGAGTTTTCAAGGAGGAAGAAGAAGAGAATGGAAACCAGCTAGAGGTCCAGGTTGATAACCAGTGATGATGTACTCACGAGAGTGATAAAAAAATATATATCATATTTCTATACCGCCTTGCCAGGAACATGATAATTAATTCAGAGAAACCTCCTCTGGCAAATCCAGTATTGCCAAAAATGTAATGCCAAGGAGATTAGGAAATGAGTCTGTCATTTTCTCAATTGTAACAGTAATTTCTAAGTCATTTTTTTTTTTAAAAAATTGATTTATATGCCGCCCTTCTCCAGAGACTCAGGGCGGCTTACAATGCGTTAAGCAATAGCCTTCATACTTTTGTATATTTATACAAAGTCACTTTATTGCCTCCATAATCTGGGTCCTCATTTTACCTACCTTAGAAAGGATGGAAGGCTGAGTCAACCTTGAGCCTGGTGAGATTTGAACTTGCAGTAATTGCAGGCAGCAGATGTAAGTGGATGTTAATAACAGTGCTTTTTAGTCTGCTGAGCCACCAGAGCTCAGTTGTACAGTTCTTGTTGAGATGACTTGATGAAACAACTCATGGGTGAAAGGGCTTAAACTTTTCTTCAATCTTGGTAATTAGCCGAGAAGCTAGATCCGTGATGGCGAGCCTATGGCACGCCTGCCACAGGTGGCACGCGTAGCCATATCGGTGGGCACAAAAGCTCAGCTCCAGGGCACATGCGCATGCCGGCCAGCTGATTTTCAGACCTTGTGGGCCCACCAGAAGTAGGGGTACAGTCTGTTTCCTGCCTCCGGAGAGCCTCTGGGGGTGGTGGGCAAGGCCGTTTTTGCCCTCCCCAGGCTCCAGAGCCTTTCTAGAGCAAAAAACAGGCCTTCCAGTCCCACCAGAAGTTGGCAAACAGGCGATTTCTGGCCTCCAGAGGGCTTCCAGGGTGTGTGTGGGGAAGGCCGTTTTCGCCCTCCCCAAGCTCCCAGAAAGGGTCTGGAGCCTGGGGAGAGAGAAAAACGGGCCTACGGGCCATCATGTGCCAGGAGTGGGTGGGGGGGTTGCGTGCGCATGCATGGGGGTGGCGCACATAGAATTATGAGTGTGGGCACGTATGCGCACGTGACCCCCCCTCCCCTGCTCCTGGCACGCAATGGCAAAAAGGTTAGCCATCACCGAGCTAGATGAATGGTTTTTATCTTTGAATTTCTGCACCTGATGTTTGTTTGCCTGCAGGCATAAATCAAAATGGTCCAAACAATATTTCAACCTCTTTGATGTTCCTAGATATATTACCCTCACTGTCAGTTACTCAGCAAAGTTCATTTACTAGTGAGAATTGATTGGTGCTTCTGAAAATGTAATTCTGCATCCACTCAATATATATATTGAGAGGATGCAGATATATATATATATATATATATATATATATTATATATATATATATATATATATATATGTATGTTTTATTAGTATGTCATGCATGTTTAAAATATATTGCACGGTTGATTTCAAGACCGGTTTTGATTTAATTAAAATTGTAGTTATCCATTTTTATGGTTTGTATTTTCTATTTTTATCTCTTGAATGAATGAACATCTTGAATGTTGAATAAACAGGAAGGAAGGATGTAAATTTAGCAAATAAATGAATAAGAAATAACTGTTGTGTAGAAGTCATGTGTTTGCCTCTGGACCCTGAGATCCACATTTCAAAGGACGGATGGAAGGCCGAGTCAACCTTGAGCCTGGTGAGATTCGAACTGCCAAATTGCAAGCAGCCAGCAGTAAATAGCCTGCAATATTGCATTCTAATCACTGTGCCACAGTAATGCTGGATGGTTCCCACTTTTCTTTTCTACCTGCCAAGAATGAGCTTCCTCTCCTTTGAAATTACTCTTCTATTACTCCAAGATCGTGGCCAGAGAGATCGTATAATACTTTGTCTACTCAATTCTATGTTGGTCAAAACCAAGTAGGGAGAGCTAAGAAAAATACCAACACCAAGTTCTTTTTAAATTGATTTTAAAAAAAAAAACGATTGGTTAGGATTAGTACCTGGAGAAGGGGTTTAAGATGAGAGGCGATGTAAGTGTAGTGTAAATTTACAATCTCTAATCTTCCACTCCAGGATAAAGTGACTAGGAAGTTGGTGGGCTCCCAACTCCAGCTTGACTTAAATAATACTGATTTTCCTGGTGCCATTTCAATGGGATTTAATTCAGAATATGATTTTAAGATTGCTTTAGGTCAAATTGTACCAATTTAGTGGTAAAGAGTTTAAGAAACTGAGGTCAAATGTTCAAAGCATTATGAGCAGGGGTGAAATGCTCCCGGTTCGGACCAGATTGCCCGATCCGGTAGCGATGGAGGCGGGTGATTCGGAGAACCGGTAGCAAAAATCCCTGCCTCCCCCATGCCCAGCTGAAACGCACAATCATCAGAGGCTTTTTTTTTACTTTTAAAAGCATTTTTTCTACAACCTCTTCGGCCGAAAAAATGCTTTTAAAAATAAAAGAAAAAAAGTCTCTGATGATCGCACTGCTCAGCTTGGATCGTCAGAGGCATTTAAAAGAAAAAAATCCTTCTTTTTCCTTCCTTCCTTTTCTTCCTTCCTTTTCCTTCTTTCCTTCTCTTTCTTGTTTTTTTTACTTCTCCTTCCTTCCTTCCCTTCTTCCCTTTTTCTTCTTTCCTTCTTTTTCCCTTTTCCTTCTTTTTTCTTCCTTCCTTCCTTTTCTTCGTTCCTGCAATTCTGTTGGGATGCCTCAAAGGAGCCCCCGAGGCCTTAATTTCCTGCTACTAACTACGGTAAGTGTCTGCAGCAACCTCCATCAGAATCCGCTCTCTAACCCTGTTCTAAATAATGGCTAACAGTGTTTACACTGAATAAATTAACCTCATGAAATCTGTCCTCTCCTATTTGCTAAATGCATTTAAAAGTTCAGCTTGACTTTTACTGACTAAAGCACATTTTTAAAAGTGTGGGTTTAAGCCCCCCTGTGGTTCCCCAAGACCCACCCCTCCCGGGGTCCAGATCTAGAATATTATCCCGAAGAACATTAGATTAGATGAGAGAGGGGAAAATGGCATAAAACGTTATTTCAAGTTTCAGCTTGACCAATGATCAAAGTACTTTAGGTTGTTTACAATAAAACTTTTTTTAAACAAACCACCACCCTGTAACAATAAAAGCAAGTAAGTGCAGAATAAAACTGTCATGCGAACCAGGCAGCTTGCAAGGCAGCCATTCAAAATGAAATTAAAGTCCAAGTCAATTCAAAAAGCCCAGGGAAAAAAAAAAAACAATCTTCACGGGATGCTGAAAATGTGCAAATGCCAGATTTTCTGGGAAGGAAACTCCATTAACAGGGCGAAAAAGTTCTCCAAAGAAGAAGAAGTGGTGAAAAAAATCGCTCCAAGGGCAAAGAAAGAAAGAAAGAAAGAAAGAAAAAAACAGGAACGTAAATTCCTCTTTTTAAAAACATCCTTTTGGGTTAGGGACATCCATCCTCTTGCAGTGGTGAAATCCAAATTTTTTTTACTACCGGTTCTGTGGGTGTGTCTTGGTGGGCATGGCAGGGGGAAGGATACTGCAAAATCTCCATTCCCATCCCATTCCTGGGCCAGCCTAATGTAAATGAAGCGGGCTCTGATAGATGACCACTGGATAACTTTCTATTCACTCTATTCTAAAAAGCAATGCATCCGGTTGGAAAAAGTACAAACTCAGCCAAAATCCTTTTGGTACCTCCTAGAGGTACCAAAGGAACATTCTAATGACATACATCTTAAAGGTTGGTTAGGTCAAGGGGATCCACATGAGTTAAAAGTTGTCTATCATCAGAAGATGATTTGAGTCTATGCTTCAGTAATCTACAAAAAGAATTATGACAGTTGGCAAAGAATAAAATGAAACAGTAATTAGGAAGTGTCAATTAAAAATGACAAATGTATATGATCACATAAACTGCTGAGTTAACAGAATCCTTTGTCTAGAAGGGTATAAAAACCATTGTAGTTAATTTCTTTTTTTTTAATTGAAAAAGTTTTTCAAATACAAATTTTCCCCCTTCCCCCCCCACTCCCTAACCCCCCCTCCCCCTCCTCTCCCCCATGGCTTCTGCAAGATGAGATCCAAATTAATATCATATTATATAATACTTTACCACCCTTTTACACCAACCCCTATGTGCTAAACATTTCTTTCTAACATTGTTATTATGTCCCCCGCATGCTATACGTTTCAAACAACATTCGGCTATGAAACTATACAATAAATCCTAATTTGGCATTTGTTCTACTCATAATCCACCCCCATACGTATATCTCTTAACTCAAATCTTTTAAGTATATTAATATCTAAACATAGCATCCCTTTTCTTCCTACAGGTCTACCATACATCATATATTTAATATCTTTATTCTTCTGCCCATATCACTAAAAGATATTTCCATATATAAATAAAACCCTCAAATGACTTTAAATTTGTATTCCATATGGTATCTTCTGTAATGGATTTTAAATTTTATGGATTTGGGGTTTTAAATTGGGTAGCCAATGATTTAATTCTTTTAATTATCTTAACTTTTGCATTTGTATGTTTTTTAATTTTGGCTGTTCACCGCCCTGAGTCCCTTCTGGGAGAAGGGAGGTATACAAATTAATTAATTAAATAAATAAATAAATAAATAAATAAATAAATAAATAAATAAATAAATAAATAAATAAATAAATAAATAATGTCTTTCAACTAGATCGTTAATTCCATCGACCATGTTAGGGTAACATCAAGTCCTGCTTCCAACAGTATATTCAGTATCTTCAATTACCATCTGCCCCCATCATTAATAAGTATTTCTGTATATGAGAAAAAAAAAATTATGTTTATATATTGTAGTTAATTCCTGTCTTTGTTCAACGCTTCACGTACAGAGCTTTGAACCTATTGCGCAATATACAAATTCTCTCAGATTAACCCTGAAAAGTTGCGTTGGTCTTATCAAATCCGCAACAAGCCAGAGTTGGTATTTGCCGCTTCTCCGAACTACTCAATATTTCCACTACCGGTTCTGCAGAACCTGCTGGATTTCCACCCCTGATCCTCTGCCATGCGAAGAAAACTCAAGCCAGGCTTTTACCAGGTTGTTATATTCCTTCCCTGCTACGAGAGCGATCCCAGATGCCAAGACGAAGCTTGCTGATGGTTACGGCTGTTAATAATCCAGATTTATTTTTTTTTTCT